AATTAATGTTACAGTACTGTTACAAATCTATAATTTATTCTAAAATATTGCTACAAATGTATTATTTAAGTTATTTTTTTTCAGATTATTAAACTAGTAAAAGAACATTTTACCATGAGTATTAGATCCTCGTATTAAAGTAGATGCTAAATTTGAGCTCATTAATGGTGCGACACTTTGCCGTGCTAATGGTGGATTAATACCATTTTGCATCAAATTTAAGCAAAATATTAAATCTTTCGTTTGAAATTGTGGCTTTTCTGTAATATAAATAATCGATGAAGTGTTTATTTTCAAGTCTAAAATAAAGGAAAAGTTTATTTTAAGTCCAAAAATTGCTCATTGTCGCAGAGAAATAGCCTTATTAATATGTATTATAGATGTAATTTAATTATTAAATTAATTAGATATATGCTATAATTGTGTTACATTTATTACATCATTATGCATAATTGCTTAATTTAATGTTGCTTAATTTTGGAATTTGAATTAAATCTATCCATCTAGATAACTGAATAGCACTTTTATAAGTAAATTAACGAGGAAAAAAAAACTGTCAAAAGCAAATAGAGCTTAAAATAATTATTCAAGCATAAAAATTCGGAAGGAAAAAGTTCTAAAATGAAATTTACATATTTCTTACAAATATATTGATGATTCAATTTGTTAAACGATTTAATCTGATGATTAAATTAATATTTTGAAAAAATATTTAATCATAATTTTTAAAAATTAAATTAATAAATGAGACGAAACCATTTTTGGCAATTGCTGCTTGAAGAAAGAGTGGAATTAACAGATGACATAATATAACTTCTAATCGTTCAGCTATTGGTCCAATTCCTTCGTTACTGCATAAATATTCTAATGAAAATGCTGCCTAAAAATATTTTACAATTTACTAAAAAAATTATTCTTTTAAAAAATAAAAATTAAATTTAAAGAAATTTAATTAACTTATAAATTGAAAAAACAAATAAATTAAGTTATTATAAATTGAATTTTTTTCTTTTTAAAGAATTTAATATATGCAAATTTTATACCTGACCAAGTGCTTGCATCATAAATGATGCAAGTTTAAGGACTGCAGTACAAAATGGTTGAGGTGGACAAGTACCATGTAAAACGGTTGAAAAGGTAGTATTTGATTGAGTGAAAAGATCATCATTTAATGGATCACCGATCATTATTCGTAAACACATTAATGTTGTAGACTGAAAAATGGAAAATAAAAAAAAAAAGAAATTGATTATATTTGAATTAATATGTTTACTTATTTATTTTCTTTCTTTTTGAATTTTTAAAAAATATAACTTAAATTTTATTCATCATTGAGTAAAAAAAAAAAAAAAAAAGAAAATTCTATTATAAAAATTTAGTTAAAATAATTT